CTACAGGTAAAAGATCCGGATGTGTCCTGTGTTCGAGTCCCGGTGAGGGTAATTCCTGTCACTCGGAAACTAAGTACAATAGAATATTGGCGCTAGGACTGAATTTGTTCGTTTTAACGAGGAGATTAAAGAACAAGGCACATAACCCCGAAAAATGTCTTACCTGGGTTCGACACACGGTGAAGGTTTCTGTAGCTGAACAGACTTAATCTGACTCATGAAGAATCTATTGACGGGCTGTTGTGAACACGGAGATAAATATCGGACTCCAGAAAAGGCGGGCAATTTCTTGGTTTCTCAAGAAGGGTTCATGGAGTCAGGTGGTAGGAAACTTTAAAAGCCCAACAGTCGTGGTTAAGATGTGTAACACAGGGGGAAGATACATGGCAATGCAAGCCTCTTATCCTCATAAATAAATGCAGTAGGCTTTAGAGATGGTTTTCCTCCAAATTTAATTTACTGACAGTTTCGAATGCAACGCTCATGGTCTATAGCATCATTATCATATTATTCTTCTTTTTCTATGGCGCGACAGCCCGAAGTCGAGCCTTGGCCTCCTTTGGTCTATAGCAGAGGTTCCCAAAATGTGGGGCGCCCCCCCTGGGGGGGGGTTGATATGAAAAACTTTTTTAACGAAATATGGAGAAACATTTTTAACATCCTTCGCTTGATTGAGGCAGTTCAGCAGTGGCAGCCATCAAAACAAAGCATCGTTCTACGATGAACCTGGAAAACGACCTTAGAGCGGTCATTTCAAAACTCCAACCTCAGTATGATAAGTTATGTTCACAGAAGCAACCGCATCCATCCCACTAATCCAGTTATGAAGCGTATATTTTATTACAATTTTTTTTAAAATTAAATGCATTGAATAATATATACTAAATTATAAAAAAATGTATATTCATAGCTAAATTTTATGTCAAATCTGTTTGCTTGCATTTGTTCTGGAAAGGGGGGGGCGTGAAATTTATGAAATGTTTTAAGGGGGGGCGCAAGGTATAAAAGTTTGGGAACATCTGGTCTATAGCATACTGAGGGCTTTTACAGTCCTCGCCACACAATTCCACACCCTTGCACTTTAGCTATTACGTGGTTCGGTTCGTACCATCTTGGTACAAAAATAATGGAAGAATCAATACCTTCAAGGTTTCCTTTCAATGCACGAATAACAAGAATTCACAAGTAAAATCCACAAGAGCACGGTGACGGTACACGGCGACACTTGACCAATGTCGTGCAAATTAATTCTTGTTAATTAGTAAAGCTGTGAACCACATTAATAACTTTTTGAAAAAAAAGTCTTTTTTATACTTTTTTTCGGATATGTATGAGGTAAATTCATTGAGACATATAGGAAACTTATGTTACAGCCCTATGGGTCCCATATACTACGTTCTTTAGCAACCGATTCTGGATACGTTAAAGACGTAAGCCAAAACTAGCCATTTTGAAACTTGAATGAGCAAAATGGGTTTGATTTTCTTGACGTACGTTACTGATGGATACAGTACGGGTTTAGGATTTAAAAGTGCGTAGTGTACGTAGTCCATTAGGGGAGAGACAGAGTCAAGAATCAGAATGTGGAAAGTGACCGACCAGAAGTAGAGGAACGCAGTAGAAGATGGATGGTCTGAAAAAAATGACAGCAAAGGCTGTGGAAAGAAACGGGGTGGGTGTGTGGACATGCCTTAGCACAACACGAGAGTGGAAATATCCATCGACTGCAAAGACGAGCTCGCTTTCAGACACATCGTCACAGATCTGCCTACTTACTTCAAACTGTGAAAACCTTTGAGTCTGTATTCAGACGTCGTTTGTTTTATACGCAGGCTTCCTTGTCTCTGTTCTCCAACTAAGTAGTGTTGATAAGGAAAACGAGACTTTGTCTCTCTACAAATAATCCTTAAAATAATATTTACCTAACGATATATATGAATCATTTTTGCCTGATGAAATGTAGCAACTACTTACACGTAAGAACTCAAGATAGCAGGGAATGAAGAAACCGCGATATTTTCGCAGAAGCATAATCAGATAAAGAACTTAACTGATGATAAACAACCTACAGTTAATCCATCCATTCCCTTGGTGGACGAGAATGAACTCGAAACAGCAGACTTCAATCATGTTTTATAACTAAGAACCTACCGACTGAAATACAATGGATGAAGTCCTGGCGATTGTATTTTAAACGAAATGTTAAAGAGACAACGAGACATGTTCTTGGGATTAGGGTTGTATTTTCCTACTATATTCAACGATAAGTCTGCGTGGTCTAGCGGTTAGAAGGCTGGCCTTGTAATCCTGGGGTCTCGGGTTCGATTCCCGGCGGTGCCCGAATTTATAACTTGTGTTTGGGTAAGGCCGTGGTCTAGGCAACACGGAGTTTTCCTCTGGGGGCTTCCCCGGTTTCTCCGTGGCATCCCAACAATTACTCCATTCACACACAGAAGAAGGCAATGGCAAACCACTTCTGGATCATCTGCCAAGAACGTATATGAACAGGTCCCAGTCCGAGAAAAGGATGGAAGGATCCTGTTCATATGGACCTGTCGTCAGACAGAACACTAAATAAATAAATAAGTCTGCGTGTCGGACGATAAAGTTGTAATAAGCTTCCGGGAAGAAAGAATAATAAGAACAAATTTTACTGAATCTTTCCTCAGTAGCATTACGAGCACTCTGATTTTATTTAGTAATTTACTCTGTACCGCAAAGAAAACACAATATTTCATCATTACGAAGAACTGTTTGAAAGCTGTTTGACGGAATAATCTATGTTTGCCCTTAAAATTATACCAACCACAAAGAAATGCAGGCTTATAGATTGTCGAGGAAGTAGGAGAGACATGTACCACTGAGCATTAAACGGATAATACAATAGTTTTTGTTTTAAATTTGCAGATCGAAAATCAATTCATATGAAACTAGTATAATAATTGGATGGGTTCTGAATTTCATGCCCAATTATTTTGTCTAATAAATTAACCACAGATCAAAGAGCTGTTCAAATCGATGCATTAAACTCAGCGCCGCTCTAATTATATGGTCATTGCATGTTTTGTGCGCGAATCTAATACAAGCGGTTTCCATATTCTGAACAAATCTGTGTCACTGATCATATAATTTTTACATAATACGGGCTCTGGAAAAGTATCAACTAAGATGGCAGTATAACCTTGAAGAAATATAGTACTGTTAACCTGAATTTATTCATGTGTTGTTCCAATGTCGACAGACGATGGGTTTCATTCCGGGTAATTCTCAGGCGCGATATTAAATAACTAAAAACTGGAAAAAAAGTGTGCTTTCCCATTTCTGTCCGTCCGTCCGCATGTAACAACCACAGAATGTCTGAACGGAAGTTCATGACAATTAATATAGGGCAGGTTTGCTAAAATCTGTTGATACATTACAATTCCCAAACGTCAAACATCAAGTTGTTACTCTCATGTCTGAATTGTTACGTGTGCACTAAACTCAAAATAGTGAGCACACCCCCCCACCCCCCCGGATCAAAAGACTAAGCTACATCATCCGGCTTTTTGTGAAGCGAAAGATTGCCTACACATACGCGCAAAGCATTTCACTGGACGCGAAAACAGTATCACGCCTGGGGCTTTCAGTACAACCACACAAATAAATGAGTAGGAGTCATTCATTCTCCACGTCGTCGGGAAGAGGGCGGACAAACACACAAAAGGAGACGACTGGATGAAAAAAGGCCGCTGGGCTTAATTGCCGAGCCTTAAAATTAAGAATTTGCTTCAAGAGAAACATTTAGCTATGCACACGACACCAAGTTTATAAAGAGGCCTACAAGGAAAGGAAAATAATTTACGCCTTCATGTAAGCCTGCTCTAAACACTTCTGTTTCATCACTTTTTAAACAGTGAAAATATTTGGCAGCTGTGCCGATGGCACGGCCTTACCACTACGCTCGATCAATGTGTTGGTCGCCGCGTATCCTAGTCTTCGCGGCACAGCCGCCAAAATATTCTCACTGTATCTGCAACAAATAATCATCAAGGCACTTTAAACTAGGAGGCGTAGCGTTGTAGAAGTCCAATACGATGCTGATCGTCACTACTGCCTACTCGTGTCGATTACAGTCGAGTGAAACCAAGACAAATGAAGATGAATAGGGTGCAGTTGGCAGTTGGCGGTGGGAAACAGTGGCCCTGTTACATACACTAACACGGAAGTGTGGCGTTGCAACACAAGAACTCGGTGCACCGAAATGCACGAACGGTATCCCACACGAAGACAAGCGAGACCCGCATGTTCAACGGAAAATTTTAAAACTATGGACCCTATTTCAACATTTCAGCAATAAGCCTGTAATTACTGAGGAAAACCCTGATAAAGAAGTTGACGTTCGGAATACAGCGCCGGTCATTTGGAGTAGCGCCGCAGGACCCGTTCCTTTAATCAATATCCAAATGAATTACATCCAGAGATGCGGAAAGGGGCGGGGTCAACGTCGCGATGGCTGCCGCTACCGTACCGACTGCCAGGTATCGACTTTCGGTCCCTTTGCAAGCCGCCATGGCGCTCCGTAAGGGTAGCCATATTACCACGAGCTCAGCCTCTCATTTATTCTGCTTCCAGATTAACAGAGCGGGAGGCATCTAGGCCAATGGTATTCGACCTTTTTTGTTCGCGTACCCCCAGATATAATTTCTCTTCAACTTTGTTGGTGTATAATTCAAGTTATAAATAGTATATAATCTACATCTAAAATAAATTAAATAAATTACATTACTGATTATTCAGTGTTTATCATAAAATATTTTTTTTAAAATTTCACGTACCCCCTAAGATGTCTTCGCGTACCCCCGGGGGTACGCGTACCCCAGGTTGAATACAAAAGATGTCCTCCAGGGGACTCGCCAAGCGTCTGCAAAGTGTGGACAGGTGGGAGAAAGAGAGATACGTACAAATTAAAAGACAAAATAATTAAAGAAAGGAAATAGGCTTTATAAAGAACTAACGTATACTATTTAAAAACAAATTTAATTAGAGGTAAAAGACGGTTATTCGCATTTGAAAAAGTCCAGTCTGAATCCAGTCCAGTAATCAGTTTCTGACCCTTCCTCGACGGCAGGAACACTTTTCGTCAGTCCTTGATGATAACGATAACATACCTGGCTAATGAAGCAACTTGCAACGTAACAGACCTGTCAACAAAGTCATCATTCATGTCACTGTCATCTACGGCCAGCAAACCTACTTTCTTGTTACTAGCAACAAAGCGAGAATTCTGTTTACTAATCTCACGTAAGTACTTGAATGAAAAAAAAAAAAAGATGTCCTCCAGGTTTAAAGCTGTAAAGTTCGCATTGTCAATTCGGTTCGAGGTAACAAGCAGAAGGGGGAGGGGTTGACTAAACAGCCAGGTGTTGCAAAAATTGACCAGATGCGTACTCGATTGTCACTAACGGTCACTGTTGAAAACTGGTCAGATACAGACAGGCTTAGCCCAACAATTTAAAAAAAATAGTCTTACTTTGTGTTTTATTAAATACTCCCTTATTACACTGAACAAACGTTTCCCGAAACATACGTAGGTGTTAGATCCATCTAAAAAAAAGCTGATTTGCTTTAACATTTTTGTTAAGAAGCAAATATATATCAAGTATCCCGGTAATATTTTTTTACTTGTAATCCAGTCCCCAAAACGTCTTTAGCATAACACATAAACTGATTTTAAAGGAAATGTTGGCAGTTGCAATCTGAAATAATTTAAATTCTTCTAGTCTCCTCGAAAGTTACAAAGAAAAAAAAAGTTTGGGAATCGTAAAGAAACGTCTAACTTTTTGCACGTTCGATGACGAAAACCCAAGGAAATGTCCATGCACAATGTCCCGCAGATACTACATTGTTAAGAAACTGTAGCTTATTTCCATAACCCCACATTTTTACCACAGTGTGTCTGAGAAGGTAAGGTTGGTTCTAAAAAAATTTAATACATTACAGAAGTACGAGATTTATAATTTAGTTACGTACAAAAAGTTGTCAGTGGAACCACGGTTCCGGAGAATTTGACGTAAATACGTCTATACGGAAAGGAAGTTTATATATTGGCTTTATTCTGAATAATACCTTTATCTATGTTTTACAATTGAGATAAGTTTGATTAAGACATTGCTTATTTAACTTGAATTAGTTACGCTTAAGATGGGTCTGTGGTAGTTGAATGTAATGTAAAGTAATGTAATGTAACGTTTCCTAGGTAACCATTGTTACACTTTTTTGCCGAATGACCCTTCCTTATAGACGTATTTACGTCAACAAAATTTCTATGTGATAAGCAGCTTTTTTAAACTTGATTTTAGCTTCAAGATTTAAATTATACCGATAGGGCCAACAATGAATTCGTTCACAGCTCGATTCATGGACGTTTAAAGTGTTAATGCATAATAAAACTGTAATCGATGTTATGTAATAAGGGACGGTGCGAGCGTGCAACTGTGAAGTCCCACACAATGTTAGCACCAACCATTCACGTGTTGGTACAGACCGACCACTTACATATTAAACAACGGTTAGGGTAGGGTCTGGTGATGGGAACAGGACCTTGGAAAGCGGTTTTCATTCGTTGGTCGTCATCAGATGGATAGTTGAATGAATGGAACAACTTGACTTGATGACGTCAGTCAAGGGAAAAGGGCTTACAGAAAACTTGTTACGTAGTACATGGAAACAATTTAGTGCATAACGGAGGCATGGCTATCCTTGACCCAGTTTGGATTCCATGACGAACCAATCGCACGTCTTTGGTAATTCATTTGGAACAAACGTACATGGCATTTAAAAAGGTGTACAGAATATAACATGGGAAGGGGTTTACCTATAAAAACCAGAGAATTTCTTGACTAGCTGAAAAACTTTCAGTTTCTCAAGAAGAACTTTGTTCCACTTGGTTACTTAGGCGTAAATTTGGCTGCGACAAGATTTTGTGAGGTTTATTGTCAGTAAATTTTTAATAAGAAAGAAATTGTCTGACTTGAACGATATATGCAGGCAGCCTTTCAATTGTTTAATCAACAAAGTGAACATTTTGTTTTATTTTTCAACGAAAGAGATTTGATGCAGGTAAACTACTTTTTCTCTCCGTTCTGTGCAGAAAGCCAGCTCGGAGGAGAAAATCTCTTCTTGCGACGGTTATGAATGATGTTAAGTATGAGATATTTGTAACAGAGGTTTTCCGGTAAATTTTCAAATGCCTACAGCGTTCTTATCCAAACAATGCCCAAAGAGAATATTTTTTATTCTGTTACTGAAAAGATGAGTACTGTGGGCATACCTCAGGTGATCACGATAAAGTAAGTGCCAAACCCATAGCATAGCCGAAGTCTTCATAATCACTAGTTATCCCCACTCATCGCCCTGATGATGGTGGCAGCAACGACATCCGAAACGTTGGTAATCTTCTACCAGATTACAAGACGCTACAACCCAGAAGACAGACATCTTCCTACTCACCACTGTGAGAACCTCAAATCCTACCCGGTGATGTTCTTAACAACTGTATGCCTATCTGTAAACATACGAAGAAAACAATATATCGGATACTTCAGCTGAACCATGAAAACCGCTTATCTTGTATTTATATTCTTCGAGTGTCAAGCTGCTGTATTGTTCAGTTAAATGGGCAAGGGATTTTACACCTATATGCAGCAGTTTTGTTAGTTATACAAGCCTCAAACAATGAAAAGACTTCACTTTCTTTCCTTACTGCGTGGCTCTAAGTCGCCAGTACACCGTTGCTGGCTTTCCTACACTGCAAGTTCCTGTAAACAATTTATCGGATAACCAGTACAGCGTTGCTGGCTTTCCTACACTGCAAGTTCTGAGCTGTCTTCACTCATCTGGGCTCCGCTGTTAGAGTTGCAATGTTCCACGATTTTGTTGTGGCCTTGAAGTATGCTATTTTTTCACGGTTACATTGCAACTAATCTTTCCGGTGTCTTAAAGCGTGTCCTATTAGCCTCTGATTCTGAACAGAACTTGTGGAGCCTTGTTCCACAGATAATTTCTCAAATATAACAGTTCAAAACGAAGCTAACTTTAGAACATGCTTTTGAGTATGACTCATCAAAGAGACTAATAACTGAAATAATTAATAGACTAAAAACGTAAATATTTAATACACGCCTGTCTGTCTGTCCGTCCATCTTCGTATTTCATCTTCTGAAAGGCAATTACATCGAGCTGGGTAACTTCATTATAGACAGGGAAGGGTGGAACTGTGAGGTGTAATCTGTATTACATTACAGCGACCATGCAGTGACACCCATTCATTTCAGGCCGGCAGACAACTCTTCAAACAAGATTCGCTCGATGTAATTATTAGTTTCGTTTAAAACCTGCTAACTTCCCATTTTACAATGATTTTCCTTTTTTGATATAGTTTAGCGTTTCTATTAATCCTAAATGAAAATAAACCTTCATATAAGGTACCAGACTTTCCTTGGAGGGACTGAAGAAAATCATTACAAAATCCGTTTAAAATCAAACTCTGGGTTTCCCGAATATGAACCTACAGAACACATTCAGTGGTTCAAATATAATCTTCACTTTACTTTCAGTAATTAAAAGAAGGCTTAAAAATATTAAATTAAGCTAGAAACAGAAGGAAATGTGGAAGAATGGAAGGGAGAGACTGGGAAAGAAGAAGATAAGGCTTTGTGATCTAATTAATTGTGCGCCTGAATGAATTCAAACAAAATACCAAATCACGGCACTGGAATATCGCAACTACTATCCAAACAAACTAATTAGATGTGAAATAATACACGCTACAGCCATGTCAAGCGACTGCTGGTGGCTTTTACAAGCGACACGGTCTTATAAAAGATATTATGCTAATGAAGAACTAATGTTTAATGTCTTCAAATTGTTCATGTTATGCATTCCCGGACATAAGTCTTTATTTCGAACTTAAAAATTATCTTCCTTCAATCTAAGCCTTATTTGAAGTCTTCATTTCTGAACGTTACTGTACTCCACTACAATGTTTATGCAAAAGATGTATAAAATCAATCAAGCAACCGGTTCTTGGTCGGCTAATGCTCACAATTATGCCTCTGGGCCTCTAACAGGCACTTTACCCTTCCCCTCAGATGATACAGGAGTGAATACAGAGCAGTGGTGGAATGAAACCGACGGGAAAACCAAATGAATCGGAGAAAAACTTTTCCTAGTCCTTCAAATTCCACTTTTCTTCCTCTAATGATGTGGTCGAGGCCACAAAATCAATTCATGGAATTTTTACAGAAAAAAGCAATTATGACAGGACTGTAAGCAATATTATCAAGTCGATGGTAAGACGACAAGCATCCCTTATAAGATGCAATGTTGACCTCATTCGCACACAGTTCTTTCGGATGCTGAGACACCAGCTATCTGCATTGCAGTTGCGCAGAGGATGGAAATTGGGGTGGGGGGTGGTGAGTCGTGGGGGGTGGGGGAGGTGCACAGTAGCATTTCTCTGCTGGGGAAATTACCCTCAGTGTACCCTGTGTTGAATCAAAATGCTCAAGCGAAGACATAGAGCGGGAAATATTCGCTTTATTTTGTGAACAATGCAAACTAATCATTCTTCCAGTTTATTTCCAGTCTGGAGATGAAATTCTGTAGAGCTTCTTAGGAAGCAACGAATGGCTTCAGAATGAGTTAGAGCTTAATAACATGTCATTCTTTCGCCAGCGAACTCGAGGACAAACTTCTGAAGAAGCACGGACTAACTGGATTTCTCCATTTATTCTTTCATCGTAATTCATTTAATTATAACAAAACGGGGCCTAACATTTGAGATTTCAGGTTCTCACGGCAGCGAGCATGAGGATGACTTGTCTCCCGGTAGTAGTAGTTTACCGACGTTACAGAGGTGCTTGCTGCCGCCATCATCAGGGCTAAAAATTTATCATCAACCTGACGACTGAGATAGCAAGAGCTTTCGAAACATCGGCATATTTCTACTAGATTATACAGCGCATGATCACAGAAGACAATTATCATCATGGCAATGAATTTTCGGCTCACTGAAAAACAGATTTCTTGGTAAGCTTAGCGACTATAAGCTGTTTAAGAAAGACCTAGACCAGGGAGTTGTTTAGCTAAATAGACCTTGCTGGTATATAAAATTATCTCGGGCATTTAGAGTCAAGTTCGATGCTAGGGTACGACTGTACTCAAGGGCTGACCATCAATTGAAGCAGGAACGCCAAGCGATTCTCCGTACAAGAGGCGATGCACACTGACGAAGGAAGTTCCGACAGGGTCCGTAGAGCTGATGCAATATTGAGTCAATAAAATAATTGGTGTGACGTCAAAAGAGACCTGAAGGAGTCCAGATAAGGCCGTGTTCCAAATAGACCACCGTGTGGCCTTTTAAGCACACAAGTCCATCAGCGTCCTTAATCAATGTCCATTCTTTGCATTCTGTATAATAAATATAGAGCAACACTTCCATCACAAACACCAACACCTTATACTTTATTAGCAATGAGAGCATTTCACAGCAAAATGTTTCGGTCATACAAAATCATACTCAGTCTCTACAGCTATTGTGTGAAGCAAATATAAGTTACGTAAAACACACTGTGGTTAAAATTACGTAAAACACTTAGGTTGAAACATTCGGGTTAATGTACTACAAAATGAGATAACCTACTATAATATACGATGTACTTAAAATGTCCTGAATTATGTTGGCATGTTATCAAGTTATATAATCAAATTACCTTAAAACAATTATAGTTACACGAATTAGAACATATTACTGTGTCCTCAAGCTGCTTAGTAAAAAGGGCGTAAGTGCATCTGTTTCTTATTTGGGGTGTCTTGTAGCCGCAGTTAAACATGCTCTTATGTTGGTCAACACATAGGAAGCAGCAGACGCATGTGGTATTGTGGGTCGTGACGTGTTAGGTCTCTTGCAGATATGTTTCAACGTCAAAAACTAAGTAATATGACGGTCCGCAGGTCTTTAAGGTCTGCCCGTTGGACACCGCAATGATTACTATTCCAGTACTCTCCTTAATATTGAGAATGAATGAATATAAACATCTACGGATTGATTTTGTGCGTGTTCCGGTTCTGAACGCAGGTGGAAAAGAAGAGAGATTGCTGTAAAACGTTTTCGTCAAATCCAGAATATCCTTTTAAACTAGTTATGCTAATTAATATGTTATGAAACTGTGTTTGTACATCGCCCCTCACCTGTTACTTAAAAATTAAAACAATTAAAATTCTACAATTTACTACGTTTCGAATGCTATCTTTTTTTTTCCCTTCTTCAAGCAAGGAGGTATCTTACTCAGTGGTCCGTTATATAAAACCAGTTTTCATAACGAAAAACTGACACAAAGCCGGTGTCCGAAACACAGCACGTTTCAAAATGTATTATTCTATTTTTAAACAACAGACACAGCATTATAACGCTTCCAATACACCAGTGTTAAAGAACTTCAGAATGACAATTTGTGTCTGAACTAAACACACAAAAACCACATACGTAATCAATTCTTTGGTTCACCTCAAATACAGATCGGTCCGATACTACGTGATTTATCATTATTATTTCTAGATTTTTCTTTAATAAACTATCGGATTATTCATACTCGTTGAATATATAACGTTTCTGCTATTCTCTAAGTGAATGAATTTACTAGACGAACTCTCAACAGGAGTCTCCTTGTCTTCAGATAAAGAGAATTGAAATAAAACACGCTATACGGTTTCAGTTGATTATTCATAAAGATATCTGAAAAACCTGGCCACTATTATTTCCTGTAACACCACATACATCCGCCGACATCCACAAAGTTACTTCCGCCCGGTTCAAAGTTAATACAGATGTTTAAAAAAACTCGGGACAGCATATCCCTCATTAACGAACTTAACCTAAGTCTACGATAGTGCAATTAGATAAAGATAAGAAATGCATTACATAATACATCAGACACGTCTAACAGTTTCTGAAAACTGGCAATGTTTGTTTATCAAACAAAACTATTGTGACCTTCTTTGCATACTCTACTATTCAGTTATACATATTCGGTTACACATCGTTCTGAAATAGATAAATATTCTCTTATAACTTATTAGGAAGATATAATTGCTAATAGGTCGCCATCTTTAGCCATGAAATGTAGCCTAACAATTTTACTTCCTAAAAAACAATATGGAAAGAGAGAATAACGCGCCTTTAATCAAATACGTTAATATATTTGAAGACATGTAAAGAAACACTACAGCCTCAAGAATTATCAAAATAAACAAACCATTTTTAAATTGCCTGTTCCCTAATCTGTTTAGCTAATTAAAATTTATTAGCAAATTCAATGTGATGATAAACCTTATTATGAATTCTAAACACAACGGTCTATCAAAATATTAATCCGAGATGGGACTGTCTCATACACGCATACCGAAACTAATAATTGTTAACCATGTGTTTAAAGCGACACTAACATGTCTAGCCATTACTCGGGACCCCCTCTGACATACGCATACAATTGTACGAGATTACTTATTGGCAGAATGTATATAAACGTAAATGCTAAGAGAATGCGCTCCTTTCATTTCGGTTTGGATCATATCAACGTATTTACAAACCACCATTTTCTATGTGAATTTCACATTGAATTTTGTCACTGTCCAACAGATAAGGTAAAGATGAACCGGATCATTACGTGCGACATGAAACTTACAGATTGGATACAATAAATATTAATTCTCCTATAAAATAAGAAAATGAAGGCACTGTAGTGTCAATACAACAAATATTACAGAATAATTACGTACATATTATAAATATAGAAGATAACGGACTACACTTAAAATATTTTGTTTCAAGCATTTATAAAAGCACCGTATTTCTGTATAAATTAGTTAGGAAAATATAAAGTTAGCCCTATGCATCATCAACACGTAATTAAGGCATACTGAGAGCGTATAGGCGAATCTCCACGTAATTGAGAACTAGGAAATAGAAGGTCAATTGTGAGTTTCACGCTCCGACGGCTCTAACTCTGGTATCTATTGGATAAGCTGCTCTATAATAGGAAAATCGGCCTATACACTGACGTGGTGACGGATAAAAGTTTCGCGCAGAGAACCTCACACCTGCCGTCCAAACTGTAGAGTTAATTTGCTAATTGAGTTATCCCAGTCCACTTCTTTAACGTTTTACATTTATATTAGTGTTCCCTAGGTGAATTACTTGCTTTTATTTACATTTATTCATTTATTTTTCTTTGTGTATAATATTGTTTCTATTTTGGGTTTGCCTGTATTTGACTGTTATATTTAATACTGTACATATATATGTTTAGTTAATCTGTTTGTGTAATATTTTTCATTATTATTTCATTATTATTATTTGTATTATCAGTGTTTTCCTGTTATTGGCTTCTTGCTATTGGCAAACACTTAAATAAATGAACTGAATTGAATTATTTCATACAGTCACTTTATGTAAACTCCGGATGCTGAGGTAATTCAGTGAAATTAGATCACAGTAAAATATATAGGCCTACTATTATATTCATAATATAACAAAATGAATTTACGTTCATGTTTAATTAATCTCAGAAAGAGTATTTGGATCTAAGAACGAGAAAACAAGAGAACGGCAGAGAAAACTGGCGATCAAATCGAGGAAGATGAAATGGAGATGACACGGAGTACGCATGGAAGTGGAAAAAATGCATACATCATTTTAGCAGGGATATCTGAAGGAAACTGGAAAGCAAATGCAAATAAGAAGATAATATTGAGACGGGCCTAAGAAAAAGTGGGTGCATGTAAGCCGGATGTGCTCACGATAGCATCCAGTGGCGTGAGGTTCTGAAAATGGCGCTGAACCTTTGGGTTCTATAAAAGGCAGCTATTACCTATTCAGGAAGGCCTCTGCTACACTGAGTTAAGCTTTCACACAGAATCATCTTACAAGTAAGAACTTCCGAAACATTTTATGCTTCCATGCTTTAACGCTCACAGTCAAACCGGAAGGTGGCATCTAAAAGGAAAGTCATTTTACGATAAAATTTCCGTCACGATGTATTTTTTATCACAGACACGACATCGTTCCGTATTTTTTTTTTTTTACAAGAAAGTTAAAACACTTTACCGTAATTTCACTGGCGACCTGATCCGTTATTTTTATACCTATGCCATTTATATTTCGAAACGTCTCTGAAGTCTTAGAAACAAGAATGTTAAATGAAGAGAGCGTGTGAGAGAGAATGAAATATAATAAAAGTAAGAAATGAAAAATATTAATAATACCAACCACAGATATTATCCCTTTCAGTTTTAGTACCAACCCACTACATCTTGAACCACAGGGCATAATTATGAAATACAACAAACTTTTATTCTCCTTCTGTACTAAGAATTCAATTATATTCGCATCAAAATGTTCTACTAACAAGTGAACACAAAAATATATTAAAATAGGCCTAATTTTACAACGTACATAATATAAATAATATAGAATATAATAAGGCAAATGTTGAGAACCTTGTCGGGTAAGGACGAACTAGCAAAAATAGCATTCTACATATACTTGTTTAGTTGAACAGGGCCAAGAACTGAGTTTGTAGGCTGCCTTGCTATATAGATAACGAATATTAACACAACTCTTTAAATACGTGCCATTTTGTGATTGCTGGTTTAATGACAAACCTCGCCATGTTTAATGAACAAAAGGGTTCAAATTGTAGACCCGTTCAACTTAACTCCGGATGATATATAAACGTGAATTCATACTATCATTGTGTCTGACTAGACAAGACTGAAAAGAAAATCTAACTATCTAATAACCAAAGAATAAAATAAGGCGACGAGTTAAAATCAATATGATAATCATATGACGTTTCAATTAGCCTAATTTGGACTTTGTATACATTAGATTTTCAATTATTCAACATATCTGAACTTAAAAATCAATACAATAAATAAAATATTCTCGGGCAATCAGCCGCGTTAGCTGGTTACACAGGCGACTTCCGTGGATCCAGTCACATCAGAACCCTGATGATGGGGACAGAGTTGGTTCCCGAAACGTCGGTTTACTACGGTAACCAGCTAATGCGGCTGATTTCCCGAGAAGATTTTATTGATTGTACTCGCCGCGAAAGTCTCAAATACTATATCGCAAAATGAATTTCTGAATTTTGTGCAAATGTGATTTGCATTTAGGTACAATAACAGTACAGTTTCAGATCTGCATCATCAACACAATCACTCTGATTGCCGTACATGCTGATCCTACTGACTTCCCCCTGCAGCTGGAAGGTGCTGTTCAGACGACGTACAGTCGCTTCGAACACGGCTCCTCCTGGCAGTGCGTTGAATGATACGATAAAGTCGTCATGAAAATCCTTCGTCGTCTTCCGTTTTATCTTGATAATTTGGCCGAACGTCAGTTCCGCACACTGAGCAGAGCTGTTCCCCGCCTTCTGCAATTTTGCATTTATCTCTGACAGTGCATACATAGCAACAGCCTCCGATACTTCGTCTTTATTAGACACACTTCTGTACTTGTTACAAGTGCACCAATTGGCGGTGATGCCAGCGTCTTCACAGGCCCTGTCTGCTGACACTTCAGAGAACAGACTTACACATTTTGGACACCCTGGACATTCATAAGCAACACGCCTTTTATCATTCTGCCTTGACATTTCCAGGATTTCCCTGAGAGTCAAATGTAAATCAAATGGCGATGTTAAGCGATTTCTGTTTGTTTTCAAATTTTTGTAATAATCCGGGTGTTTTTGTTTAAACCACTCCGGAACCCAAATATAAATAAAAGGCAAACGCTCCTCGAACCAGCCAATGGACGTGCTACGAATATCTCCCCATCGCATCCCGTGATCACTGAGAAATATAACGAATGTCGTGTTAAGAGCTCCGGTATCTTCCAGTTCCTGGAAGAACACAGAAACTTTGTCATCCATGTCTGCAGGGATTGCATTGCTACTGTGACTGAAATTGTTGATCCACGTCATCACAAAGTACAAGGCACTTTCAAACACTGTGACGATGTCTATGATGTATCGAAAAATATGTTCAGTAGTGGGAGTTGGACCCAGGCACACGTTAAGTGAGTGTCGCGTCTTAACATTCAGTCTGTCCTCAGAAGCAAGTAAGAAAGGGCGAATGTAGTAGTCTGTCGGAGGTACCACGAAACCAGTCTTGGCGTAGTTGAACGTGCCCCCTCTTGGTTCGTCTTCAGCATAGGCTGTGACATAACCGACCTCTGAGAAATTTCGCCAGATAAAAGGACAGTCATCGATCTTCTTGTAACGTGATGTCCAGCACTGATTCTTCATTTGGTCCGAAGTGAGACCCATGAGGAGAGCTGCAACGTTGGGCAAGGTGTTCTCGCCTATCTTGTTGTACCCAAGCAGTTCGAGCCATCCATTACTTCGGAGATGATGCACCGTCTTTGGCATGGTACGTAGTAGGTTAAGGCGCGATACAGAGTCGAAACCCAATACTAGAACACTGAGTCGTTTCTTCTCGACGGAATTCGTTCTAGAATTACTTCCATTCAATTTTAATTGAACAGCTCGTTTGACCGGTACAGTGGCATGAGTGTTTTTGTACACTTTTGTCTTTGCTCCACGTTCAGTCACCTCGAAACAATGGACCAGAATAAATTCCTTCTCAGGACTTAGGAAAACTTCTGTCTCAAAATTTGAACATTCACTTACAGAGTAATAGTTGTCCGCGGTGCGGGTGTATATTTTTCTAGATGGGCCGTTGACTCTAGCGATTACAGAATAACAGCAACTAATATTCCCTTGATTAACGGCGTAATGAGGCACGGCGCTGATGTTGATCATCAACAGATAGCTCGCATCGTCAGGTACACGTGTGATGTATGTAAGCGGTGGCTTGGTTGAACACACTATAGGTTCCACTTGAGTCACAAACTTACGGATGGATTTATCGAAAGGATCAAAGGTAGGAATTTGACACTTATCACTCCAAACTAAGTAACTGTCGACTCCAGGGTAGTCTTCGTCGTTCGTAGGTAAATGGAAAAGTCGGTTTATGTTTACTGCTTCTTGGATGATAGTGTCCGAGAAGTACAAGGCAATGAACGACATTCCGAGCATTACTGCCAGTCCTCCTCGGAATGCTTTTCGCCCTCGGCTTCCTCGCGGCTTCAAATTCATCCTTCAGGTGGCGCCCGTCGCGGGAATTCGTCTCTGCAACGAGGTTCGGAACTCTTATAACAATCCACCCACATGTAAAATGCGAGTATCCATGCACTAATATCAATAATCTGACCCTGTTCTGAAGTGTCCAAAAACTCCAAGAGTTCTACATGATCCCCTGCTGTATATGTGACACACAAAATACCTACGAATTACACATTAAATCTTTCCTGTAGTACCTTTCATCCACGTAAATGGTTTAAAATGTTGTTCAATCATTTCCGTCGACATGAGATAAGCTGAAATGATAAGCTATGGCAGGAGATGTTTCTATTCACTGACGCTATAAAGGAAATAGCAAGAGAGCAGGCAGGTATTCATAAATGAAAAATCTAGTTCATAACACCGAAATGGTTAAGAACTGCCTATGAAACCAAAGTAACATTTCATTGCACTACAGTTCCATGGAAGACCCCATAATGATTGCGGCTGTGAGTACAGCGATCAACGATTGGATATTTTAACATCAGTGACTTAGGACATGGTGTTAGCAACCATGTAACAATAACCAGCTAAAAGGTCCTTGGTGCAGGGTATTTTTTTTTTAAACTTAGTAAATGCTGAGCTGGTCAAGACATTTCCCGCTTTCATAAAAACTAAAATTTGTTAATGTGTTCACGAAAGACTGACACTGGACCCCATCATCAGACGACACTTTAATCCAGCTGAACTTCTCTGAGCGCTTATGAGCACTGATTTTATGACTCACAAGCGGACATGAGTACGCGTACTGATTACGCAGTTATAAACCACGGAAAATACCCCTGCATCCTTCCGCGGCAACCTGCCGATATCAAGAGCATATTGAAAATGTGAAAGGAGCTAAAGATATGATTTCTCCAACAAGTGGTGATTCTCCTTACCTCAGTCTGAATAAAACAAATTTGTGCAGTGCGTACTTCAATCACGTGTAAGAGCACATATTTCACTACTTCAATTAACATTGTTTTCATGTAAATTTAACTAAAATTTAAAAAAAAAATTATTAACTTACAGAATGCAAGAATGAAGTCAATGTACTTTACCTTCGTTTGTCAATTAAAACGTACTGTACACAGTCAGATACGTGTTAAACGCTTAAGCGTACTATAGCCAGTCTTTCCCACTAAGCTACTTAACGACAATATAACAACAGCAGAGGTTACTTAAGATAAGTAATGATGATAAGCTATTCTAAGAAATACATTCCATCGAGTTGTTGAAACAAGGATAAACGTACTTAAAACTATGTAACAGTAAAAGATAAAACTTATATCTCACCATCTAAACAAATCCCACGTTGATATTAAATGTCACAAAACAAGACAATTTCGTACGTCATACAGCACTCTCTAGTTTATACGTTAATATAATTTAACAGGTTTCAAATTTCTCTTCAGTGTGACACTTTGAATGGTCTAATTTTATTTAGCATCGGTTATAATTCCTGCATTTGCTATTTAATTCAAATTTAGTTAGAACCTAGTCGCAACTTTTCACAGGAATAAATTCTACCTTTTTACTCTCGGCAATAAGAATACTAACTGACAAAATAGATAACCCTGCCAGGATAATTAAGCCCAAGAACACGTGACGAAGTCAGACATGTGTGATAAGCAAACACATCACATACGTCGCAGTTGAACAATTCATGTTATTATTAAGTTCTACTTTACAGTTGATTTTTGTTTCGCGTTCAGTGATATATATTTACTTATCTCTGTCCTCCCCAACTGTGCCATAAGTTTAGAAGCAAAGTCCCCACAGTTGAGATCCGTGTTCAATCCCGAATTTCTGGTAAAAGAAATGTCACTGAAGCAGTTTTTCTCGATTTACCACGTCTAATCACCAGTCCATCATAGTCCCATTATCCCAAGTGGTTAGAAAGAAACCGTGACAAAGCAACACAATATCTCCCTCGGTACTAAGTTAGAAGTTTAATCTCTAAACCTTCTTTTACTATGCCGGTCTTGAGTGGAAAGGTGTTTAGTTATAACAAACTTCAGGTATGTTCCATACGCCATTCGGTATAGCTCTAGCAGCCCAACGCCGGGTATCGCGAGGTAGTTACCAACGTTTCTTTCTCGCTCTCTAACCCACCATAACCAAAACGTAACCTAACCTAACCTGACCTGACCTAACCTAACCTAACCTAAACAGAACTTCCAAACCTTACCTTATCTACATTAACGCAACTTAAAACAACCCAATCGAATGTAACTTCGGCTACATGATATCGACGCTAGCAACACAACGCCGAGCGTCGCAAATCCTCAATCTGTACCAACAGAAGAACTTTCATTAATGCGACAGAAATTTTCTTTACGCCATCTGATGCAAACCGGATCTCGTTAATGAAGCAGGCCTATCAGTAGCCTATTTTTCCTACAGTCGTTCAAATGATAAGAGAGGAGGGAAGCTGCAAATTTTCGAAAGATCACTGACTGTCCTAAAATTTGTAAATCCCACCGACAAGGAAAACCACCACAGAGTCCTACCAGTACTAATGGGCATGAATCCTACAACCAGTCCTGATGCGTACTCATGACAGCACGTGGGCTCCGGTAATGTGGGGACAAAGTTGTATCGCCGTCTATTTCCCTCAGTCACCACAGCGTTGTAATCCTGGGGTCCCGGGTTCGATTCCCGGCGGTGCCCGGATTTATAACTTGTGTTGGGCAAGGCCGTGGTCTAGGCAACACGGAGTTTTCCTCCGTGGCATCCCAACAATTACTCCATTCACACACAGAAGAAGGCAAGGGCAAACCACTTCTGGATCATCTGCCAAGAACGTATATGAACAGGGCCCAGTCCGAGAAAAGGATGGAAGGAGCCTGTTCATATGGACCTGTCGTCAGACAGAACAAACAAAACTTCCAGTTTGTATAGAAAATCTTCTCAATATCAAAGTGCTGTTAGGTCAGTAAAATCGAAGACGTTGCTTTGCCTGTTTCGTAAACCTTCTCGTCACTTTCACTCTCCGACTACTGATGATCTACATGTTAATGAGGTGGTATTTTTAAGAAATGTTGAAAGCTGCATTTGTTTTGAAAGGAAAGAGAATGAACTCAAAGACGATCTAGACATATTGACAAGTAAAAACACGGCTGACTACAACACGTAGAAGGAATGCTGAGAGAGAAGATTCTTGAAAGATTTAGAATTATCACCCACGTGGGCGGTAATACTGTATCAAGTGACCTCTGTAGTTGAAAGAGCTATGTAAAATAACGTGGAAATTCTTCAACTCAGGACACAAGTCCAAAACCTTAATTCACTATGTTAAATCGAGGGTCCTTGTCACAAAGCAGATTGAATTTCTTAGAAGGCTCTCGGCTGGAAAAAAGCAGGTTTATGTAAATTCCCTAGTATGTAATTTCCCTTTAAGAGCTAATGCTTTCTGTCTCTTCCTGCTTTCAAATGACGTAATAAGAAGTTGCTCTGAAGGTCAGCTATATTACTCTGTGTTCCGTCAGACGAATTTAACTAAGCTTGTTTTCCTCACAGTAACATCTACACCACATCTCCAACCGGAATATCAGCGTCGTTTGCTAGGAACAGCGCAAGTTCCGAACTGAGGCTAGCTTCAATATACCAGGTGATTCAAAAAGGACTTTACAACTTTGAAAGTGTATAGA